GTATGTAGGGCACTGTTCACTTCAGCGAGCTCCAGAGCCGGCTGAAGGGGACAGGGAGAAATCCCACATACCTTCTTTTCGCTACCCCAGTGGTTGAAGGAGTAAGGCATTTCCCAGACACAAAAAAAGGTAGATTTTCGCTTGAATGCATCCTTGGAAATAAACTTGTGATTTTTAAAACAATATCATATGTCTAAATAAAATTTTACTAACGAAAATATAACTAGAAAAAAATCCACGCGGCCCAGGCAGCAGACAGGACTCGAACCCGCACCCTTCGCAATCCGGGCGAATGCACTGACCAATTATGCTACCGCGGCCCTCACGGACCGCGTCGAAATTCCTCTAGCCATTCTTAAGCTGCAAGGCAGCGCCATCTCTTCGCATTATAGATATAGATGCTTAAAAAAAATAAAAATTATAAAATTTTACTATAAAAAATTTCACTTGGTCCAGGCAGCACCATAGTGGTAAGTGTATTCGCCCGGAAAGCGAAGGGTGTGGGTTCAAGTCCCGTCTGCTGCCTGGTCTGCGTGGAATTTATTCTAGTAAAGTAAAGAAAATGTAATGAAAATTTTTCTTTAGATTTAAACATCTAGCAGTTAAAAGCTAAATAAATAAAAATAATATATATCATATTTAATGTCATAGATTTTGCCGCCTCTCTGTGACAAATTATTGACGTGGATGGAGACACGTACCTATGTTAGGGTACAGAGGAACGTAAGCTAGGCTACGGAGAGACGTACAGGCGGTGAAGTCCCTCAACGGGGATTTCGCGGTTTGGCACTTAACAGCGTAGAGGGTATTCACAGGGTTTTTTAGCGGATAGTATGCCGCAAGCGCTCGTAAGCCCCGCGGACTGCTTAACGGCTCTTCCGTTTCGCACCCGTGAGACTTGCGAGAGGCTAGGTGTGAGGTCCGTTCGTTGGTGTGCTGCTTAAGGGTGTGTGCCAACGTCTGTAAATGGAGGTTTTGCCATCGGAAATAAAAAAAAGGCTACGGAGAGACGTAAGCTTGACTACTGAGAGACATATGTTAGCACCGTACCACGTTACGTTACGATTCTAAATTGTGTACATTGCAGTAGCGAGTTTCATATAAAAAATACTGAACGGCTCGAGTTGATACGCTAATGATCGATGCCTGCTACGACCTTTATTCTGAGTACATTTATAACAACTTGCTGAAGGCAGTGAATGAATTCTGGTAATTGATGTTAATAACGAATTGTTAAAGTTAAGTGTTTTTTTTTTTAATTTGGGTGTAACACCATAATTACATACATATGAAGACATGTGATCAAGAATCGCATACAAAGGACGAAAATTATACCCACTTAAAAGAAACATTTTGGATACGAAAATATGAAATGTTAAAATAAGAAGATAATTTTAAATGCAGAAAAGTATTGAGAACTACATTACAAAAGAGTTAACTATTGTATAAGAACACTATTATTAAACATCCGACCCATAACACTTTTAACGTCGTCTTACGAGGCACTGCCAGACATTGATAAATTGAAGTATAATTTTTAAACAACGCTTAAAGTTTCATTCATTTTGTTGAATCGTTACCATTCATCAATCTAGAACAATTTAATGATTTTCATTATACTGAAGGTAGGTAGGTATTACAAAGAACCTAACTGTCTCTTTCAAGTAAGGCGCAGCGCACACGGGAGAGGCGACTTCAAGCACGGCCACGAGCCACGGAGCGGCGCACGATGACTTTGAACGAGGCCTAGATCTCCTGTGTAATGTTTTATGTTTGCCGTGAAATTTTAAACGTATAGAAATTAGGATTAAACTTAATTGTTAAGTTATTTCCGGTGTGCGCTGCACTGGCTGTGCCTAAAAAGTCGTCTTTAAACAAAGCGTTATTTCTGTCACGCATATTGACGATACATTTACAGACAGTTTCAAGCTGAATTTATTCTTGACTAACAACATGTGTGGTATCAAAGGACATTGTTCAGCGTCCATACATAGTTAGCCTAAGAACGAACAATCATGAAATATTAATTTCTATGTTCAAAATCGTAAGTAAATGACTGTAAAAACAAATATTACACCAGTCAACACGATTTTTGAGTCTGAGTTCTTTGTACCAGATTTTGATTTCTTATACCTAATTTATGTAAGAAACGATATTTTTATTTAAAAAAGTTTGCTTTTGTAGCTATCAGAATGAAATTTTAAATTTCATGGAAAGTTGTATATATCTAGCAATAATCATTAATATATTTATTTAAAACTCTTTTATTTACTTTAGTCAAATAAACGAAGTCTAGGAATACAAAAAAATATATTGATTTAGTTTTAAAATTTGATATTTTTAGCATATTTTTTTAAGTTTTAGTCTGAAAATTTTCTGAAGTTAACAAAATACCATGGAAATTTGTTATATCCTCACGTGACGCCCATATTTTATCCTGACTTCGAATAGAAAGTTATAGTAAGCTTCATATGCTTAATTATGCCTTTTACTACTGGATAAACAACATTTTTTGACCTAAAATTTAATAAAATCTCCGGAAATAAATCAAACAGAGTTCCAAAACGAGTAAAAACTACGTGGGTTTTTACTCGTTTTGGAAGACATTTTACCTCACAAAATACGTCGTTTCCCTTCAATAAAGATTTTTTTCATGCAACTGAGACATAATATAATGATAGGGTCCATAATGAATAAAAGTATATCATACTAAATATTATAATTATTTTTCTGACACTCTGAATATGCTGCTGGTAGAAGTAAACATAAATAACTTGGAAATTTTGTATATCGTCATGAGGCGTCCATATTTTATCCTGAAGTCAAATAGGAAGTTAAAATTAAGCTTCATATGTTTAATTAAGTCTTTAACTACAGGTTAAATCATTTTAATGACTCTTAATTTTAAAAAAATCTCCGCAATTAAAGCAAACAGGGTCCACGTAGTTTTCACTCATTTTGGAAGGCATTTACCGCTCTAGGCATTTACAAAATACGTCGTTTCTCTAAAAAGTGTCTCTAAATATATGCACTGAGTGATTGCTCTACTGCTTCCTATTCCATACCCAATATCCTTCTGCACTCCTTTCTTTTGCTTATTAAAAACGGTAGATCCTCAGCCTTTTACAAAATTCATACATATTTATTTATCATTGTATAAAGTACAAAAGCAAACTTTTTAAAATAAAAATGAGGTTTCTGGTTATTTTTCGATTTAAACAATTAGACAATAGTCATTAAATAACAGACTCAAAAAAAAAATTTCATTTTGTTGACTTGTGTTATTGACGGACACTTCTGAGAATTTAAATTATTAGGAAAACTAAAATGCAAACTGCATGCACCACAACCACAGAGTAACAAGTTTTATGCCGGCCCTTCACTTGACAACAGTTTGTCCTTGTCATGCTTAATAAGGAATGAAAAGGACAGACTGATGTCATTTTTTAAAATAGCAAATACGAATAGCCAAGTGAAGTGCCGGCATTAGGAAGAAAGAGTGTTTTGTTTGCAGCGCTGCCATAGATTATACAATATACACATAAAATGGTATTTATTGTCTCAGATTATTTTTTAACTTTTTAATTTAGCTTACTTAACTGGAAGTGTCCGTCACAATCTAAATACTGATAATTATCGCAAAAAATATACTAAGAATTATCATAAATGCCAAATTGGTGTTGGTTCTTAGGCCAATTTTAACATTGTCCTTTAATAGCGGTGAGTTCACTAATTTTTCACGTGAATGACTGGAGCTGTCTTTCTGGCAATTTCAACCATAGCAAAGGTCCAGTATGTGATTCAGAGCAGTGATGTAAATAGGCTGATACAGTTAGTTTTTAAATCCTTCACAAAATCGCTAAATTGTAAAATATTATTTTTTCAGTTTATTTTTATAAATTGGTTTGAAATGGGCAGGGCATAAACTTGATGTTTTTACAACTTATTCTAAAGCTTAATTTATGCAATCGATTTACAGGCAGATTTAATACTTGTTCTTTCAATTTATATTCACAGTAACGTTGTGCCTGAAATGCATTTTGACGATTAATTGAATCCAATTATTGATACCATCTAAAATATGAAAGCGTTTGTATATCGTCAAAAAACAAAAACACTTTATCTCACAAGCAGCCTTGTTCGGTTCAGTTATGAAAGAAAGTGAATGGACAATTTATTGTTCATTAAAGATTTTGTTGGGCATGATGGTTTATATCTTCTCGAAATTCAATCGTGTGGACTGCTCTTAAATATTTTATAGATCGTAAATTACCAAAGAAAATTTTAATTAAAAGTTGCATAAGAAATAGCATAAATAGTATAAAAATCTCATTGTTATGCCTGTTTTAATCTATGGAAAAAGGTATTCAAGATTATTTTACTGACGAGAAAAATAAATTATTCAATATATTTACTTTTCATCTAAAACCCTTTTATCTTCTTTGATGCACTACGATAATTACTAATACTTTATTTCATAATTGTAAGATAATTTCTCCAATAAAAACAAAATTCAATGCAGTTCATTCTGGGAAACCCCCTCGGTAAATTAATGCAATATTCATTCAATAAAAGCAATAACAGTAAGCGAAATATGCAAATAAATATGCTTAAAAAAGCAGATAAGTAATAAGAGTCGGGCTTCCACACGGGAGATTCCATGTCATCTTAATGCAAATCCAGTTTAATATTAACTATATTCAGCTATAACTAGGTTCAGCAAAAAACGAGTCAAAAGTCACATTTCTTGTGCCTCCGTTATTTTGTTAAATTAATTGTATAGATGTTTGGGAGAACAAATACATATTCCTTCCCACAAACAGCTTTTCGAAAATCTGAAAAAAATGTACAAGAAAGTAGTCTGACAAACGTACGGATAGACAGTATATTATTAGTAATAGAGTTCTGTTTGTTAAACTTTGACTCAGCACTTTAAAAATACTTAAAAAAAGATGTACGAGTAGGTACATCAGCAAAATATATAAATTTTAATAACTTACCGACCGATCCCCAATCAGGATACGCTCTGTTGTTGTACCAGCCATCATAGCGTTGTTTCTCGTAATATATTTCTGCAACAAAATAAATGAAATCAGTTAAAAAAAGTTACTTTATTACATATATATTTTAAGCATTTAACATCTAAAGATTATGAGGTCCGCGTTAGCATATTGGTCAGAGCATCCACCCGGATAGCGTAGGGTCTGCTGCCTGGTCCTCGTGGTTTTTTTTCTAGTAAAATTTTCTTTACTATTGTACTTATTATAAATTCCAATAAACATTTAACAACAGGCCCACCGAATGCAGAATTGAAGACATTTCACCTTTAAAAACTATTGAGGTATTTCGCTATTTTCCGTTTTCAAGATCTCTTCAAGGGATCTTCTATTTCTATCCCTAGCCTTGTAATACTGTACATACTTTTTATTTCCGAAAAAAAATTTGGTTCCCGTGGGATTCTCTAAAACAAAATTAATCCTGACGAAGTCGCGGGCGACAGCCATTCTATAATAACAATAACGTTTTCTTGTAAAATAGTAATCATGAGCTTGTCTATAAATAACTATCTACTATTGCTCAAAGCTGATCAGTTTTATCCATATAATGCATAGGTATATTAAATACAAAAAAAACAGAAACAGTCGATCAAAATCTTAATTAAATGCAGTTGGCGATTTAATAATTTTATTCTAAAATCACCAGGGCTCGTGTAGGTACGATAAATTATAGTTTACTTTAATTAATGAAATAGAGCTTAACCCCTGGTCTCTGTAGCCCTTCACTTTGTTTTCCATGAACGGGTTATTACGTGGCAATAAAAGTTATATTCGTAGGGAATATCCACCAATGTCACGGGTCGGAATGCATCAGACTTGTGCGTAATGAGGAGCTCATTACAGATGCACTTGGCTGTGCACGTTTCCAACAAGGTCTCAATCGGCTGTATCTGGAACATCATCCAGCAAAAACACGCTTCGTTCTGATTACCATAAGGTACACATGAAGTGTAATTGGACTGATTAAGATCTTATCGGCAATGTGTACAACTAACGAGATATGCTAATTGGTATTTTTTCGTGTTGGAAATGTGAACTGACACAGGTTTAGTGTAGTTTTATTAACGTTTACGAGATCTGGGTGGGTGAGAAATATAGGAGATGTATTTTTATTATTGGCCACTGATAAATACAATGTTATCGATTTCTTAATGATGGAAGGTATATCAAAAGAGAAGTTGTTATAACAACAGTGAAGAATGAAAAATAGCGGACGACTTAGCACTACAGAAATTAATTTAATCCGTTTGTCCTGCCTGCATTAGTGTCGCCACACACGGGCCACACGCCACAGCCACAAACGCTGCCACGAGAAGCTAGAAGCGGCTACTAAAGTGGCTGAAGCGCACGACAGCGGCCAACTAAGCTAAGGGAGAGAGAGGTGGGGAATCGCGCGAGTGACGTGTGGCGGCCTTTTGTATCAGCACAGTAAGTGGCCGGTGCGGGCCACAAGAAGCGAGCAATGACGATTTGTAGCGTGTGGCGGCCACCGGCGTACCATGTGTGGCGAGTCCATATAAAATGTATGAAAACTACAAGAAAGAGGTGGCGGCGTTTTGTGGTTGTAGTCGGTAGCCCGTGTGCGACGACACTTAGCGTTCTAAGTCTTGTCCATATGAAAATGACACAAAAGCTTTGTCACATACCTAATGGTTTTTGCAAAAAGCCAAGTAGTTCCTGTATTTTTTTTATACGAAACGTTATGCATTGTGGTGGGACCGAAAGCGGATCTCAAGTAGCGGTGTTCAATGATAAATACTTACAAGCTTGATAGGGAGCTTGAAATTAATAATGTCATTTAATCATTATCTGTAAGAGCTTCGTTGTTTCATAGGTTATTCAAAGAGACAGCTATAGGAAAAATTTTCGGTTTGATTCCATGACTTTAATTTTTTTTTTGAGTTTTAATTGCATTCATAATTCTATTAAAACGATACAAATCTGCCTACACAATTGCCCGTTGGCTTATTAATAGCAATTTATAAATTAAGCGGCCAGTGTTTATACTATCAATCAATGTCAATTAAGTACTCGACCTAAATATTATGTAAGAAAAAATGTGGCTATACGATCATACCGTTAGATATGTGCATAATATTACTTACCAGCTTTATTATTAGATTGCATTGAATTAAAAACTTTCATTCATCCGAACAATTCAATTGAGCAATCAATAAAGTTTTTCAGCATACTGTCAACCAATGTCAATGATGTTTACGATAAGCATATTAAAGAATAATTTATGTTGATTATTGCACGACTGCCAAAAAAGGAGTGTAACGTTTTCAGGGCTTATGTATGTTTGCAAGTACGTATAATCTACCACCTAATTTTAGGGTTCCGTAGTCCTAACAAAGAACCCTTGTAGTTTCCTCATTTCCGTCTGTCTGTCCGTCCGAGGTTTTGATCAGAGACAGAGACTATTAGCACTAGAGAGCTGTAATTTTGTAGAGGTATGTATATCATTCACGCCGGCAAAATGGTAGAATAAAATTTACAAAAATATTTTTTTAGGGTCGCTCCCCTGCATGTAACGTGGGAATATATTTTTTAGTCATTGTGTATCCCATTGTGTGGAGTATCTTTCCTTCCTTCTCCTTCCTTTATAATTACTCAGGGGTTGCTAAGACATTTTTTTACGTTGTAGGGATCCGTTTGCGAAATAATAAAGTTTAAAGTCCTAATTTTTGTTCGAGTTGGGCCACCATAGTGCTTATTATGAACTTTGAAGGAAAATTAAAACAGTTAAGATAGATTAGTTGTTTAAGTGTAATAGTCGTAAAACTTATTAATTTCATAATTACTTACCTGATAAAAAATCCTCAGAAGAAAACATTAAAAGTTACTTAGATGAAGAAATTGCTGAAAATAAAGACTCCTTATGGATCTACGGAATCTTACACTGCGCGTATCATGACACGCACTTGGCTGGTTTTTCCCATTCTATTTTCAAAATTGTTCAATAGATTTGTCTGTTATGGTATATTTACAATTTTACATCGTTACGTAAAAGTGGGCTCCATTTTTAAAGGTGTTTCGTTTTTTTTCGACCATTGGTGGTGTTGTGTTTCTTCAGTGACTAAGGCCCGTATTAAAGAAAGATTCTCAGTGATTGATCTTGTCTTGAGCATAGAAAGGGATGTTGCTATATATATCACAAAGCGACATCCCTTTCTAACTGTACTCAAGTAAAGATCAACACTTAGTTTTCATTCTATAATACGGGCCTTAGGTTTCACCTATAGGTTATACCTATACATATAAAAATATATTTTTCAAAAATTTTATTCTACCATTTTGTCGGCGTGATTGATATATACATATCTCCACGCGACACTCCACGGACAGACAAACGGACAGGACGAAACTATAAGGGTTCCTTGTCAGGCCTACGGAAACAACTGATTAATCATCATAATCACGACATATAAGAAATCTGTATTCATTTAAAAGAAGAAGTGCCCGTATTAATTTGAGGAAAAAGGTTATAGTGAAACACCCTTAAAAGATAGACATATGCTGTCGCAGACTATTTTTATAAAACTTTTAAAGGAGAACAATTCCGTCATACCTGATATTTGTGTAAATTTCACCGATTACGCAGCGCACGCAACCTAAGCTCACAAATGGCATATTTTTTCCGATTAGCAACATTTTTCGTTGGTGCTCCGCTCCTGTTAGTCGTAGCGTTTTTTATTTGCGTTGTGTTACTTATTATTGCCCATTTACTTTTTAGTGTTCCTTTTATATTTAAAACAGCCAATAGCCTAAAACAGCAAACTGCAATATTTGCACACCCGCCCGCAGGTAGAATGTACTTACTTCTTTAAAATGTTGAACTGTATTTTGGCAAATAAATTAAGTTATTATTATTATTCCTTGACATGAACCGTGGACTATCAAGCGCAAGAATTAGGACTAGTTCCTGAGATTAACACGTTCAACAAACAAAAAAAAACTTATCTTTATGATATTAGTGTAGATTCTATTTCCTAAAAACCATGAATTAGTGACTGTCGTGCAAATCGGGGTGTTTGATAGTTTATGATATAATAACATGTAACAAAAAATAAAATAAAATTTAGATTTCGTTTTTACGTTTTTAGGTGGTACTGCCCCCCCTCCCCGTCTACATCAATCCTGGACATCATCTGAAATTTCAAAAATTGGATGTAATATAAAAATTTTGAAATTTCTGATGTCCAGGATTAAGCCTTTTTTTTTCATTTATTAGGTGACCCTTAAGGGTCACCCAAGGGGTGTCGAGGTAGGGTCAACCCTACCTCGACACCCCTTGGGACTTCTGAAATTTAAAATTCGATTCGGATTTAATATCAAATGCGGAATCAGGAAAATAGTTTACAAAAAAAAAATTTCCTTGTTTTAGTCGGCCCCTTGAATTCGCATTAAGGAAAAAAAAAATACTCTATCCTTCCCCCGTGGGTCGCCTGGGTAGACCGCAATCCCAAATCTGTCAGATTCGAATTAAGCGACCACAAATTACTACATGACCAAGTTTCTACGCTTGGATCAAAAGAGAAAACAAAAAAATATTGCTGACAACTCCCTGCATACAGACAGACACGACCACGAGGCCACGTAATAGATTCCAAAGGTAACACAATGTTAAAAAACGGGCATTTTAGATTTTGCTCTCTTCTGAAATGAACATTACAAGCAAGAGGTTTTATAATTTGACGATGCATTGGCATTCTGTACGTTAAAATCCAATAGATACTGAGGTAATATCACCTGTTGTTGATTGGCGCGCACACATTCATGTCATGTATGTTTCATGAGCTATTCATTGCATCTAACCTCACTCATAGAAATCCTTATAAAAATTCCTCGGTGATTGTTTCTATAACAGCGTGACACAATTTTTTATCTCTATTCCAGTATTATTGCAGTTGGATTGCAATCAATTAAGTATTTATTTACTGTCGATTTTATTGATGACTGTATCCACCTGCTTGAGATTGCTGATGTTTTATAAGAGGTTAAATAAATTTCAA